TGGTAATTACAGATATAGTGGAAGTCAGGTGAAGGATGGTAATTACAGATATAGTGGAAGTCAGGTGAAGGATGGTAATTACAGATAGAGTGGAAGTCAGGTGAAGGATGGTAATTACAGATGGAGTGGAAGTCAGGTGAAGGATGGTAATTACAGATAGGGTGGAAGTCATTCCTAGAAAGGAAGAAACTATTCAAATCCCTTTGTTAATTAATAATATTTAGTTATTTACGTCTTGAAGTCAGCGTTTCGCATGCGTTTCATTACTTCTATCTTTAAAATGAAGAAGCTGATTGTTAATTTCAATACGCCGACGTATTTTTTTTTTACCTTAGACTTTATACCACATCAGTAAACTGAATAGTTAGTGTAAATTACACGTCTATAAGATGTTCTGAACAAGATATAAATATAAACTCAACATCATACAAACGTTTCGCTTTACAAGTTCTTTATAGGTGCGTTTTCCACAAAAACACAAACCGTAGCCGATGGTATAAGGCTTCAAATTGTTGAAGTAAAAGCTTTGTACTGTCCGTTACGATTTGTGTATCAGTGGAAACGCTTCTGTAGAAGCTGTAAGGCGAAACGTTGAGTGTCCAATTAAATAAAAATAACAAATTTGGTGTTATAAGGTGTTTATTTGGTGTTTATTACCAGTATTCAAATGTTCTTTATGCACCACATAAGGTAAATAAATCTTGTCTTGATTCAATTTCATGTAAATATAGGTTCACTAAGCTGTTTCATAATTGGAATTTTCAACAGAAGAGCACATTACGCACACGTGGAAAAATTGACTCACTAGATTAAAGTATATTCGTCCCTAAATTTGAGCTTCTGATCGATAGAAAGGCATACAGCAACACCACTCGCCGCCCCAAAGGGTTTATTTAGCTACTTGAACCCGAATATCGTGATTGACTGCCATTTTTATAACGCGCTAACAACTGAAAGCGTTGTGAGTGTTCAACGGCATCACGTCTGTAACTTCGGACCTTACGATCCGTAGCACGGGACGCTAACCACAAGATTATGCCCAGCCCTATACAATCTAATTACTAAAGTTGAAATATACTATCAGCATACTGTTGAAAATATTAGTTAAATTGTAATACTGAATACATAATAATTAGGCTTAATAATTAGGCTTAATCCTCGTCATTCTAATGCTTCTTTTAGATTTTTACTGATTGCCAATAATCGATCCATCAAAAATGCCTATTAATAAATTCATTAAATAAAATGTGTTATTTATTTTTGACGAAATATGTGAATTCGTGGATTTTATTTTTTTTTCTCTCGCTGTTCTTATGTAGAAGATAATATGTACAAATAGATTATAAAAGCTTAATCCTGAAAGTTGATCAGCGTAAGTAATGGTTGGTTTTCTGTGCATTTGTTTACTTAACACAGAGATTGAGGGTAGAACAAAGAAAAGATTCGAAACACTTAATTTTATCAGATTTTAGAAAATAGTTATCAAACATATAAATTGTTTTTTTTTTTTCTAGGCTTTTCAATAATAATAATAATAATAATACAAAATATGAAATTCGATTATTTAGTGTAATAGGCCCTCAGAATTACCCCAGAGCCACCAGGGGGCAGTTTATAGAGCTACTGTTACAGATACTGCTTGCGATGGATTGTGAATTACAACTAACGCTCGAGATATTGGGAGTTTTAAGCATCTAACCACAACCCCTTTTTTCCCCTTATATTATCGGTTCTTCGTGTGGATTGTAACATCTTGTAAGAATATACGAGTTTGGATGTTGCTTGTATTCCATTACATCATTTATATGAAGATAAAATATAATGGGTAATCTGTACTATGCCCACCACGGGTATCGAAACCCGATTTTCAGCGTAATAAGCCCTCAGGCTTACAGCAGAGTTACCAGGGGGCAGTTTATAGGGCTACTATTACAGATACTATTTGCGATGGATTGTGAGTTACAACTAACGCTCGAGATATTGGGAGTTTTAAGCACCTAACCACAACCCTTAATTTTTTTTCTCATCTTGTAGGCTCGTATTTCCGTAAAGCTATTTTACAGTATTCCAGTCCTTGCTCTTTGGAACAGATGATATAAGGGTGGCTACCATTTGTTAGGTTTTAGTTTTTCATTTTCATTGTGTTTCGTACTGAGTTTCAATACGTATGGATATATAATGTCACTTTATGCAACAGCAAAACTTAAACTATCGAAAATAACGTTTAAATCAGAGCCTTTTTGTTTGTTCGTAATGTTGTCCAATCGCTAAGATATATATATATATATTTATTTAGTTTGAGCATTTCAATGTGCATGAATCCATTAGTTATAAAGTTCTATATTTCTACACTAAAAAGCATATATGTTTGATGTTGGTGTTGCAGGAGATGGTGAAGTCACGAAACAAAGAGATGACGTCGGCGATAGGCGAGATAAAATCGCTGACACAAGAAAAGTGTTTCTGGCCAGATGACGTAGACAACTACCCGTGTCTGGACGATCTACAAAACGAAGACAAATCACGCAGCGTCACCAAACGACCATCTGGTTCAGCAGAGGATCCCTCTCTTAACAGTGAATCTACCGACTCGAGCTCTGAGGTCGCCACGCCAGCCAAACCAAAACGACAGAGAACGTCGTCGTCGAACGGACGTAGGCGGCGACAGACATTAAATGCGCGGGAACGAAACCTTCGGAGGCTGGAGAGCAACGAAAGAGAACGCATGCGCATGCACAGTTTAAATGATGCCTTTCAAGCACTTCGAGAAGTTATACCCCACATTACCATGGAAAGAAAATTGTCTAAGATAGAAACCCTAACACTTGCAAAAAACTACATAATGGCACTTACAAATGTTGTTTGCGACATGCGAGGAGAAAACAAACCCTACAAGCTGTTATCAGCAAACTTAGATAGCAACAACAACGCCGATGATCACGGAGATACGCAAATCCAACTCCCAGAAAGCGCATTAATTCTTCAAGAAATAAATCCTAACCGTCAGGGGAAACTAGAGGGCGTACACCTTACCGAATACGATGTCAGCGTCCCCTCTCGGGGTGACAAAAGTCTTTAGTTGTAGAATTTGTCACAGGTCAGTTTCAACAGTTAAGAAGAAAAAAAAAGAAAATAAATTTGTGGCCATTCTTCAGAAGAACCATGAAGTTGAAATAGAAGGAGTGGATGAATATGATGATCACTCGTGGGATGATAAAACGCTTTAATTGTAGAATTTTTCGAAGGTCATTTTCAAAAGCTAAAAAACAACAAAAACAAGAAGAAGAAGAAATAGCGGTTTGTTGCCATTCTTGACAAAAACCATGAAGTTCAAATAGAAGTAGACGTCGCTGAACATGATATCTGTGCTCATTTCGTGATTACAAAACTCTTTAGTTGTAGAATTTGTCACAGGTCAGTTTCAAAAGATAAAAAAATGAAAAGAAATTTATGTTTCTTTGATAGATTGTTCAGGCAGAGTATTCGTGATGAAACTTTGTAGAATGGACGGTAACTGCCTGTTGTAGAGGACGACGTTTCGAAAGTCTTTCGCCTTTCGTCTTCTGGATCTGAAAACGGCAGGCGGAAGACTTTCGAAACGTCCTTCTCTACGCTTGTATCTCTACAACAGGAAGTTGCCATCCATTCTACCAAGTTTCATCAAATTTGTGGTCATTCTTCACAAGAATCGTGAAGGTCAAGTCAATGTCACGAATAAAATTAATAAATTAAAGCATTAGATTAGATTCGACTTGTACAGGCTTTATGATTTTCGAAGAGTGTTATAAGTATATAATGAATAAAAAAAGCTAAAAAATGGCATTGAATGCAATGGAATAAGAAGAAAATAAAGTTTTCTTAAAAAAGTAAAAATAAAAATAAAATTATGAAAACGATGAAAGATAAGGAAAAATATTTGGTGTAAGTTAGAGCTTCATAAATTTAATGACTTGATATTTGAGCTCATGTCCCTAATCCAACATTTACATATCATTATCATTATGGCTGTGTTCAATGTGAAAAGTTATATCATTATCATTGTCTTCATGACTGCATAACAAATAATAATAATAAAAAAAGTAGGTTTAAAAAATGTTCGAATTTCGAAGAAGTGGTAGATAATTATCTGATTTTAACAAATTACACTTACTTATGTATATTATACGTGCTATAAAAATGAAATTGTAGACATTGAAAAAATATGTTTAACTTTTTAAGTTTTGGATATAAGTGAGGAAATTTACATATTATTCTTTTTTTCCTGCTGAGTTAATCTTTTCTTCCGTCTCAACTTTCGGAAGCATGTTATAAAGAGTTTTAGTATTTTAAATAAGTATGTTTATTGTTGTGTGAGAAAGGAGTAACCTAGTCTCTGTAAGAGTATTGTTCGGATAATACTGGAATGAAACGTTTCGCATGACTTTCTTTTTTCTCAAACACGGTTACAGACTGGAAGTGATACTTAGCTCTTTTTATTGGAATAAATGTTTAGAGAGTGATAAGTAAAATAAACAGAAAAAATAACGATTCGGTGATAGGTTTTTCCATTTCCTGGAATGTGCGATTGTGTAACAGATATAAAATGGCGCACGTACATTGAGCTGTCACTATTACGACTTACTGAGCTTTTAAAAAAAATGTCGCTATTTAAAAAACTTTGCTAGAAAGTTAGAGAAAAAAAAACACGCCTCACATATGATTATCATCTGAATGTTCAGTGTGTTATACGGTTTGTTACTGTGACGTTCGTAGCTTCCTGTTTTATGATGGTGAACATTGAATAGTTTGGAATCTATATTATCGATAAGAATGAACAAAATGGCAAGTACAATTTTCTCTTCATAGACTTTGAAATAAAAATCTTTCTTTACTCCTATCATACCATTTCAAAAAAATTCAACTTTTCTACGGATAAGCAGCTTTTTATTCGCAAAGAAACTTCTGGAGTAAATTGCGTTTCCTTGAAACCAGATCAAATGGATTTTGGGTTTTGCTGATGAAAGTTAATTTTGCTCTCGCTCTGTATATTAAGGAAATTGTTGCACAAATGTGTGGGTATGCATGGGAAGGTGTTTACGTGTTGTACAAATGTGTGGGTATGCAAGGAAATGTGTTTACGTGTTGTACATATGTGTGGGTATGCAAGGAAATGTGTTCACGTGTTGTACAAATGTGTGGGTATGCAATGAAAGGTGTTTAGGTGTTGTACAAATGTGTGGGTATGTATGGGAAGGTGTTTACGTGTTGTACAGATGTGTGAGTATGCAATGAAAGGTGTTTACGTGTTGCACAAATGTGTGGGTATGCGTGGGAAGGTGTTTACGTGTTGTACAGATGTGTGAGTATGCAAGGAAAGGTGTTTACGTGTAGTACATATGTGTGGGTATGCATGGAAAGGTGTTTACGTGTTGTACATATGCGTGGGTATGCATGAAAAGGTGTTTACGTGTTGTACAAATGTGTGTGTATGCAAGGAAAGGTGTTTACGTGTTGAAAATGTGTGGGTATACAAGGAAAGGTGTTTACGTGTTGAAAATGTGTGGGTATACAAGGAAAGGTGTTTACGTGTTCTACAAATGTGTGGCTATGCAAGGAAAGATGTTTACGTGTTCTACAAATGTATGGGTATGCATGGAAAGGTGTTTACGTGTTGTACAAATGTGTGGGTAAACAGGGAAAGGTATTTACGTGTTCTACAAATGTGTGGGTAAACAAGGAAAGGTATTTACGTGTTCTACAAATGTGTGGGTATGCAAGGAAAGGTGTTTACGTGTGGGTATGCAAGGAAAGGTGTTTACGTGTTGTACAAATGTATGGGTAAACAAGGAAAGGTGTTTACGTGTTGTACAAATGTATGGGTAAACAAGGAAAGGTGTTTACGCGTTGTACAAATGTGTGGGTATGCAAGGAAAGGTGTTTACGTGTTGTACAAATGTGTGGGTAAACAAGGAAAGGTGCTTACGTGTTCTACAAATGTGTGGGTATGCAATGAAATGTGTTTACGTGCTGTCTTTTACGTTTATACTACTTTAACACATCCTGCCATCTTTATACAAAATTATATAACGTAATGCGAAAGGTCCATGAATATGAAATATACAAGTTGAATACATAGCTGGTCGATAGTGGCATACCTTGAATTAGAAACGTTAAAAAGTTGATTAATTCGCCATTTTGTCATGAAGATGCACGGAAAATTTTGTCGAAAAGTTCCCTAGTTATACTTAAAATATATCTCTGTTTAACTATAAGATAAATTGAATAAATAGAGTTGTTTAAACATTTGTTTAACAACAAGTAAAAGCTTGGAATGGTCTATTCTTTCATTGTGGCGTGTGTCTGTGAGCCAGACTAGTTTCGGAAGCGGAATGCTACAAGTTCTTCAAATACCCATAGAATGATAGGTTTCTTTTTTTGTGAGTGTAAAACACTTAAATACACCAGTTCGATATAAGATAAATTATTCTCACTGTGAGAACTTAGATTTATGTGGCTTGTTAGTACAGTGAAAGAGAAATATACAATTTATAAACTACAAATTCTAGTCGAATACACAACAAAACCCCAAATTATCACTCTTCTGCTGTTTGTTGTTGTTGTTGTTTTTGAGACGGCAAATTACATTTAATTTAGAAATAATTTCACGTGCCATTGAGAACATTATATATATTGAGAATGATGGTGACAGTTGCACTGAACAGAAAAAAAAAGAAACCGTTAAAATTAAGGAGGACCACATAACATGCTCAAGTTAACTCGAAATACGCGCTATGTTCCACGCTGTTCGTTTTTTTATAATATTTAGTTGCAAGTCACCAACTCCAGTCTCGTTTTGTTTATAGTTCATAACCTTTGTTTTACTTTAGTTTCTTCGTAAGTCCTGCTTTGTACACGCTACACACCTAATCCATTTACGTTAGATAATTGAAAAGATGTAATATACTATATTATTATTTTTCGGTAATACAATAGTATACTTATCGCATGAAACTGGATTAATACGTTGGTGTATAATATATTAATGTTGGTAATCAAAGGGTTAATATATAAAATCTATTAAAATCGATTTGTACGTTCATCCTAGGTAACTAGCTGACATATTTTACCGATTTCTTAATAATAATATATTTAATTTTAGAGAACACGGTGGATTAGACTGCTTTCACGGGTTGATCATAACACATTTTCCAAATAGGTTCATTTTTATTCATTTATTTATAGGTTCAATAACCTATACGACGTTTTTGTTCTACTACTGGAAATTAATGGTCTTTTGTTCTTCAAAATGATCACCTGGTATCAGGAGACAAGGTTAGAATTGTTAGAGATTGTTGTCTGCAAAACAAACATGCAACGAGCGTGTTGAGAATTATTCATGAAGACATGTTTGACATTATACTGTAATTGTTCACGAAGACATGTTTGACATTATACTGTAATTGTTCATGAAGACATGTTTAACATTATACTGTAATTATTTATGACGACATGTTTAACATTAAACTGTAATTATTTATGACGACATGTTTAACATTAAACTGTAATTATTTATGACGACATGTTTAACATTATACTGTAATTATTTATGACGACATGTTT